TCAAGTGAGCAAACAACTGGCAGATATATTGGAGGGTGACAATCGCCGTTAAAAGATGCCGATAATGATCCCGTTAAAATTCTCCATAAAAAGAAGAATATGAAAAACAGCCGTGTTCTGTCTAATAATATCTTGGATCCTCACAACGTAACGGATTAAACATTGTAGACTTCAACAATTCTGTAACAACAAGGCACTGCTGGGAGTTGAACCCAGGATCTCATGTTTACGAGACAGGCGCTTTAACCACTAAGCTACAGCGCCTCTGATTTGTGTTTCTGCCAAAACGGAAGGGTGAATAGCTAGTTTGTGCTAGCTGACATTTTAGTATGAGGTCCCTAAGGGTAAGGGTTAGGGGCTACAGGGGGCTTTCAACACCTTTAAGACTGACGCTAACGATAACACTATGAAGCTTACGTAGCTAAGCTAATGCTACTTAACTGTATTAAACAAAAGAAACCAATGTTGTTCTGCACAGGAACCGAACGCCGTTCTCACAGGTGAAAAGCAGCAAATTTGCTACCAGAAACTGGACTTTCAACCAGGAGATGTTCATTTCCCGTGTGAAACAAGTCAATACTGAATGTTTTTATTTAAGTTATGTAGTTTACGTAAGTAGCGTAAGTTACGTAAGTAGCGTAAGTTCCGTATGTAGCGTAAGTTACGTATGTAGCGTAAGTTACGTATGTAGCTGTTCTTGTGTCACATATAGTAGTTTTAAGAGTTTTTTATGGAATATATTTGTTTAAACTCCAAATATATGGTTGATTTCTCAAGACAGCTGATTTAAAAAATTGCTACGACTTTGTCGGAGATGTGAGGTCCCGCCCGCTAACGGGTCCGGCCGTCATCAAGTCTGCTGCTGTTCCAAATGCTCCCGTTCCTGGGAGTTTGTACTCCCGAGCCGAACTTGCCAAGTCCGACCTTTAAAGTACAGAAGTCTGAACTTGGCGAACTCGGTATTGAGAAACAGCCTCAGACTTTTCACAACGTTTCACAACGTGCCGTTTCAAAATTGCAACATTTGTCAACATTAACAAGTTTTATTTTGAAAGTCTGACCGGATGTTGCATATTTATTATTGCTAACTTGACTGTGGAGCCCTTCACATTACAAAACAACTCTATAGGGGCGCTCAGGGCGACGCCAAAGGGGTCTTGACCAAGCGTCCCTATGTGACGAGTTAGGTGTGCTGGATGGTTTTCAGGAGCAGCTCTGAAGCTCTGCCGGATTTATTCTGTGATCCGTCCTCGGTGCAGGAACTCTTCCAACTGGAAGTGGACCAGTAAGCTGAGCAGAGTGTAAACTGGGACTGGCTCCCTGCTGTCTGTCACTGTCAGCGGCAGCTAACAGCTCGTCTCCAGGGGGTGGGGTTTCATTCACGCACATTAACCCGCATTCACAGGAAATGTCAGCCGGATGAGTCAGAGCAAGAGAAGAAGTGTCAGAGTGCAATTTAACCTTTATCACTGTGTGAGTGTGTGTGTGAGTGAGTTTTCTGTTAATCCTGCAGCCTCCTCCTGTTTCCCAGCAGCCTGTTCAGACTCTCCTCCTGACAGACAGACAGGCAGATGGTTAAAGGACAGACTCACCATCTGAAAACAAAGCTGACGTACGGCCATCGCCGGATTTACTGGTTTCCAATGGTGCACAGTAATAAATACATTTACTCAAGTACTGTACCTAAGTACAAATTAGATGTATTTGTATTTTTCTCGAGTTTATAAAAGATGACATTTTGTTATAAATTATATAAAAAAATTGACTATTTGATAGTAGTTTAAGTCATTCTTCATGTAAAAACATTTCATAGTTCACAAATATGTAAATTCCTTTTAATTATTTTAATGTATTTTTAATAATTTTGAGGTTTGGACAAAACAATCATTGTGAAGATGTCGCTTTGGCCTCTGAGTAACTGTGACAGCATTTCTCAATATTTTCACATGTTTGCAATAAAGCATGTGTAATTTTTACAATCAATTGATTAATGGAGAAAATAATCAGTAGATTAATCCATAGTAGAAAAAAATCATTACATAATCTCAGTCTGATAGAAAATAGTTCAACCTCAACCAACTACAGCTGTAAAATCCTGATTTTAAATTAATGCATGAGGAATAATGATATAATATATAATAAAATAACAGTCAAGTTTTTCATTCTGCATTGAGTAATTTTACTTTTAATAAGATAAAATAAAAGTACATATTCCTGATTATGCTTACATACTTTTACTTAACCCTTTCATGCATGAAATAATAAATTACAAAGTACTATTTATGTTTGTCTTACTTAAAAACAACAAACGTTTAAAAAATAAATAAATAAATAACAATAGCACCTAGATGGAGGAACAAACCAGCCAGGTGTTGTTCATTTGCTAATTATCAGTAAACTCAACTAAGGATGATGGGAATGTAATTTTTAATTAAAACCATGGCCTGATGGTGGCGCTGCATGAAGGGAGGATTGGCAAAGTTATTACAGTTCATCATGAGCCACCATGATAAGTCTGTTTTCCTGACGTTTCCCCATTTACGCGGTTGAAATTAAAAGATATGATTGGAGTTTTTAGAGACTCTTAGTAATCCTCAGATATTCTTGCTCATCTTTTATCGTACATGAAAACCCATCCTATGCAGAAAGGATCTGCTCCTTCTGAAGGACAACATGTTATCTTTCCTCTCTTCCTACATCTCCTTCTCCAACTTCCTGCCCTTCCTGTTCCTCCATCTCCTCACACACCTCACCTTCACTTCATTTTCTCCTCCATCTCCACCAGCATCTCCTCTTTCCACATTACCGCGCTCCTCCTCTTCCGTCACCTCCTTCTTTGACAACCATTTTCTTTTGGTGTGGATGGAAATAGAGGGGTCACGGAGAAGTGATCGACCGGGCAGAGTGAATGTGACTCGGCCGGGGGTTGGCGGTGTCTGGACAGCTGTCCAGGCTTTAACACTCAGGCATGAACACTTGTGTCTCGTCATTGTGTTCGAGGCGCCACAGAGGCCTCTGGGTTCCAGACCGGCCCTGTAAGTGAAAGGTCACGAGGTCAGCCCGCTGAAATGTTTCCCTCAGGAGCCGACGGTCCTGCAGGGGAAACATCTGAAGTCATACCACGGTGTGCGGCCTCTCACTTTGCTTTAGGAGGTTCACACTCACTCATGCATCCCCTCCAATCACTTTTTTTTAGCGGCATGACTGGATGGATGGCGTGTCGGTCGGTCAGTCGGTCCACCATTTTGGTCCAGATGGAAATTTTTTCACGTTCATGTTCCCCAGAGGACGAATCGCTCTGACTTTGGGGATCCTCTGACTTTTCATCTAGCTCCTCCAAAAGGTTTACACTTGTGATGTTTTGACTGAAATATCTCAACAACTACTGGACAAGTTTATTACAGTTTTGCAATTTTCAGTCGTTTTCATTTAGTTTTGACTTTTTGTTTGTTCAGTTTAGTTCAATTAATCAGATTTTAAAGCAGCAAGTGAAGCAGGTTTGTTAGTTTAGTTTTTATTCATTGAAAATGCTTAGTTTTAATTTAGTTTTGATTAGTTTAGATGCGAGGGGCGTGGACTAAATTAAAACATTTCTGGCACAGCTAAGAAATTGGAATATTGATTTCATATCCACCTAAAATACCAGGCTCAAGTCGGCCCTATGAAATAAACCGACAAAGACAAAATCTAAAGATTTTTACTGTGTAATTTTAGTTTATTTTATTTTAGTTTTGTAAACAGACTGTTTCTGTTATTGTTTTTTGTAAAGCCTCGTTTTTATATTTTTCTTATTTCATTAGTTTCGTAACAATAATAACATTGCTAATGAATGGATTGTGATGTAGTTCAGACTTTCATGTTTACCTCAGGATGAATTGTAATAACTTTGGCAATCCTCTGACTCTTCTTCTTCACCATCAGGCCATCGCTTTAATTAATTACCCGCAAAAAAACTACATTCCCATCATCCTTAGCTGTGTTTACTGATAATTGGCAAATGTTAGCATGCTAAAATGCTAAACTATGATGGTTAACATGGTAAATCTGCTAAACATCAGCATGTTAGCATTATCATTGAGAGCATGTTAGCATGCTGATGTTAGCTCAAAGCACAGCCATTGTTCTCATTGACAGAGCGTCAATTGTAACGTCTCCGGCGGACGAGGCAGCCTTTCAACGCTCTGGGGGAAACCCTTTAGCGCCATTGTACAAGGCTAAAAGTACTGCTATGTCTGAGTAAAGAGGTGGACGGGTGGGACCAAACTGGACTTTCACTCAAGACACGGGTGTTCGTTTCCTGTGTGAAACAAAAAGTGATCCTGATTGATTCCTTTTAGTTGCGTGACGTAACTTAACTGAATTTAAGTCACATAAGTTTTGTAGTAATTTTAAGGCAAACAATCATCTTTTCCTAAACTTAACCATGTACTTTTGTTGTTAATTGTCGCAGGTACAAAGAGTTAAGAACAGGTTCATCCCAAAGAAACCAGGTGAAGATTTATGTTTGGCTCCATTCAGGATTTGCACCATTTTAAAATCTACCAAGTGACGTCGTAGCTGCTCTGCGGCATCTCTGATGCTTTGGTTTATTTGAATGGATTTTCAGATTAAGGGGGCTTTAGCATGCCGACATAACAACTTAACTCTTTACCCATTGATTGATTGTTTCGTGGAAAACCTTTTCCATCCGGCTTTTCATGAGTAATTGATTAAAAGATGGAGCCTGACGTGAGCACTGACCTGTGCTGTGTGTTACTGGACACACTCATCCCACATGTTAACCTACATTCGATCCTGAAAGAAGGTGACATACAAACACAACCTGTTTCTGTTTTCTGTTTTTTAATAGTTGACTCGCAGATTTGTTCTTGTTATTAATAAATTTCAAGCCAACCACAGATCCAAAATGTTCCACAGTGGAATCCCAGCAGGTTCTTCATGTGTCTGATTAAAGATTCTTAGATTAGTGTCTAAAAGTCTTTTTCATTGTGTTTGGACAGATCACTCCGGGCAGCAAAGCGGCGCAGGGTAACCTGGTCCAGGGTGATGTCATCGTCGCCATCGACGGCGTCAGCACTGAGGGGATGACTCACCTGGAGGCCCAGAACAAGATCAAGATGGCCAACTACAACCTGGCACTCACCATGACCAAGTAAATATGGAAACACAAATCCTTCTACCTTGCGCTTGACATATCTTTTCAATTCAATTTTATTTATATAGCGCCAAATCATAACAACAGTTATCTCACAGCGCTTCATTAAAGAGCAGGTATAGACCGTACTCTGTGATGATATTTTGTTTATTTAAAAATTTATTATTTTTATGTAGGAATCCAGGCACGTTTTAGGGTGTTTTTTCCACTCACCTTTATCATTTTAGATTGATATTCTCAAAGAAATCAGTGTCCAGTCACCATATTCCAGAAGACAGAAGAGAGCAGCTGATGGTGTACACCAGCGATCTGGCCGCCAGAATAATATCTGGCCCTATTGCTGATCAGATTGCTTTGATAGCAGAAAAATAAAAAATTAATAAATTGATAGCAGCTGATGGTGAAATAGATCTCAGGCATGACAACAGTTACTCACATAATCACTTCCTCTTAAATGATTGTGCCTCCAAAATAAAAGCGCAAGAATGTTGTTTTTTTTGCAGCAATGCTTCATATTGAGTTTATTGAGAGCTTTTACTTTGAAAAGTTCTGAGGGACATTCGAAAGAGTCTCTGGCTCGCTTGACACACCTCTAAAACAGCCATCAGTAAACGTGTGATTGGATTCTCCTGAATTTCCTCAGGGAAATGAAAATAAGTGTCCGCAGGTTTATGAGTGCGGATTAAACGCCGGGACGCGCACACACTGCGGCACATGCTTTATTGCGAACATGTGAAAAAGTGTCCTTATAGGCTGATCAATTTGTTTAACAAGGGCGCAAAAGAAAGTCGGCAGGATTTTAGGATCAATCTTTCAACTCATCCAACGTGAGTCCCGCACTCTACCAACTGAGCTAAACGTGCACATGAGTGGGCCCATCCAAGGGTTTGAAATAATTTGACTGAATAATGTTCTGGCCCGCCATGGCACGGCTTCAAAAAAAGTTGGCCCAATGTCAGACTTAGTGGACACCTTCAGTTACTTCCTTGTGCTTAGTGTGCAGCAGCTCCTGCTTTCACCTCTCAGGCACCATACAGTGTGCTCTGACTTACCTGTAGGGTTTGTTGGGGCCATATGTAGCCAGAGAGGAGGAACTACAGGCACTCGGTGTTAACAAAAAAGAGCGTTATTTGGTTAAATAAACATATAATATTCTCCTAAGGAGACACTAGAATCGAACATCACAAATAAGGACATCGGTGCTCAATGCAGTAAAGCTGGAGGTACGACATTAAAGTATCTGATGTGTATACAGTATCTCACCAAAGTGAGTGCACCCCTCACATTTTTGTAAATGTTTGATTATATCTTTTCATGTGACAACACTAAAGAAATGACACTTTGCTACTTTGCTAGTGTCGCCGTGTTTGGTTTGTTTACGATGTGCAAATTCGGAGGTTGTCGGAGGAAGATAATCCGGTGTCGGCGAGGGACGATCCGGTCCTGGTCTGCCCCCAACATTTTACTGCTTTAACACTTTAAGTCCTGATTATACTCACATACTTTTACTGTAACTGTGAGTATTTTAACAGTGAGGTATTAGTACTTCAGATTTTTAGATAAACCTGATTCAGATTCTAGTCTGAGCTTTTGACCGTGACACTCACAGTGAGTGTGCTCTGACCTCTGACCCTCCTCCTCCTCCTCTTCCTCTTCTGTAAGCTTTTCCTGTCGCCGCCTTCGTTCTGCAGGAGCTTCTTGTGAACAGAGGATGTTGACACACGTTCAGTGTTGCTTCTCTCTGTGTCCTTCAGCTGAAGAGTAAACAGAGTGTTTCACCCACACAGGGAGGGATTTCACAGGTAAAGTAACTGATGTTACAGAACACTCGGGCTCTCAAACAAACCGATGAAATCGATGAAACACCTTCACACGCTGTCACGTGGAATTGATTATTCAATAGCTGTGAAATCTGGAACAGCGGTTATGAAAGTTGTGGCAGTTGAGAACCGAACTCAAAAGAAGCACCGTGCACGAGTACTGTTTTGTGTGATGATCAATAACATGTTCAGATCTCCTGCTGTGTGACACAGAAAGAATTGTTATCTTGGTAACAAGCTTCTTAATAAAGCTGCAGGCTGGATTTCTCGGTTTGGGGTTTTATCTCTGACAGCATTTAGTTTGTGCCTCATTCACTAAAATCTGATGTTTTGTTATAAATTAGTGCAGCTCACTCGTCACTACGATCTTCTTGTTCTACTTCTGGTAGAATTCAGGCAGTGCAGACACTCATCACTACGTTTACTACGTATGTTAGAAGAAGAAGAAGAAGGACTGAACCTTTATATATATATATTAAATATTATGCATTTATTTATATTATATTTTATATTTTATTAAATTGTTTGTATTTCTGTCTGTGTCCTGCTGTGTATTGGACTTAAACTTCTATTATTTTATTATTCCAATAAAATAAAGTCTTGTTGGTCTCTGTGTATTCATATTACTTTTTATTCCAATTATTTAATCTTGAACTGACTGAACTCAAACAGCTCCTCATTTACAGGAACCAAAGTAAGAAAATGTAGAAGAAGAAATTCTCGTGGAAGAAAAAAGTTATTTGACCGACTGGGAAATGTTTCCGAACACACCATGTGAAAGTTAATGGCTCGTCAGGAGAACTTTTTATTTCACCGCCTCTGTTTTCTTTTCTTCCTGCAGGGCGAAGCGTCCCGTTCTCATGACGACACCGAGAATCGACGCCGCTATTCCCATGATCCCTCACCAACAGGTAACTTACCTCATAATGCATTTGAGTTGCTGTCGAATAGTCTTCTTTGCTTTAGGAGTGAAATGACCCGAAGTATCTAAGTGGCGATAACAGCTGGTGTAAAAGACAAGTGATGTAAATATATATTGACAGAGATATGAAACGCACGGTCTATGTCGTCACTGCCCCTGCTCAGAGAAGTTTGTTTAGAACAATATGTCACATATGGACGCATGGTCAAGACCCGTTGGCGTCAGTTTGTAACGCTCTGGAGGGAAACCCTGTAGCTTCATTTATGGACGCCAAAGGTAGGTTTAGGATGAGAAAAGTCAGAGTGAGGAGGTGAAGGGGTCGACAGAAACCGAACTTTCAGTCTGGAGACCGATGTTCCCCGTGTGAAACAAAAAGTCAACATTAGCCCCTTTTCCACCGCACGGTACCAGCTCGACTCGACTCGCCTTTGTTTGGCTTTCCACTGTGGAAATGTTGCACCTGTACCTGTTCCAGGTCCTTTCTTTTTGTATCACCTCCGTCGAGGTTCCAAGCGAGCTGAGGGAAACTACACACAGGCTGCTGATTGGTCAGAGAGAATCGTCACTATTCACTGCATCATCATTTCACCAGACAGAGGCCAGCAGCAGGAAAATTTATATTTTACAGTTTTCATACGTTATTTCATCACTAAATCCACTTCTGAGAAGTTTTGAGGTGAGAAATCAGCTGTGTAGATTTCAGATATTGACAGTTTTACGAGAAGTGACGGCGGGGGAAACCTGCGCCAACCTTGCGAGGCCGGCCAGCCGCCCGCTCACAGAGCCCTCTGCTCCCGCCGTCGCACAGACCGCTGCAGCAACAACGGCAGAGGAAAACACAGCTGGAAGGTTTTCATACCGCTTATCTGTCTTTACATCCTGAGGAATGTTGAAACTTTTTAACTTAAAAACGAGAAAGCGGTGTGGATCGCAGTGTCGCAGTGAACATTACGTTGCGGCTGTTGTGTGTGTGTGGCGTTGTTATGACGACAAGCTACATTGAGGGCCACTATCTGCAATGGAAAACGGAGCAGGGCCAAACCGAGTCGAGGCGAGCTGGTACTGGTGATGGAAAAACGTCATTTCACTTGAGTTAGTTAAGTCACGTTGTTCCGACTGTCGCGAATTCGCATCATACCTCTTCCTTGCAGACTGCAAGCCAAGATAGCACACGGATTCCCCCGATGCCTGTTGGTGCATATTCGATACGAACCTAGGAACCTTTCGCAAGCCCTGGTTTCTCGTTTATGCCTAATTTGCATCATTAAGTGACGTGGTGAATCTGATATTTCTAGTAGGGAAGTTTTACATTAGTAAAGTAAGCCTTAATGGGTTTTTTTGTGGTTGAATTCAATTCAAATGTCCAAAAAAAGTAAACGTTATATTTTAAATAATGATTTTTTATTATGTGCGATTTATTATGTTTAGACACTTTATTATCTTCAGTATTTCCTTTCATTGATACGTCTCTACCAGCTGAATGTCTGTATAATGCTCGATAAAAAGAAAGTTTCACCACATCAGAGCCACGTCAATAACATCCGCCGTCGCATAATTAACTCAGCTTAGAGTAAGGGCAGTCGGATTCAGCCCTTGACCTCATGACGTTTTCCATCAAGGTCAAGGAAAAGTGTCAAGGAGATCATTCTTTTGACTTTTCGGCCCTGGAGTTCTGGCATGAATGTCTGATTGATAAACATAGTTAGAATAGCTCAAATGTTAAAGAAATTGCAATCTTCCCGTTGTTTGAATCTGTAAATGAATTTTCACACGTCACATTACTCGTCTTCATGTGTTCACTGTTTACATTTTTCTCCTCAGCGTCTCTGAACTCCTGCAGACGTTTGATTTAAACGCTGCTGTGTCTTTTTGGGGCGCCACTACGGATAATTCACATTTTGTCTGCAACATATAGAGATTTATTTTTTCTCTGTGAGAGTCAGAACCTGGATACTTCAGAGTGGGCCAACGTGAATGAGTTGTGCTCTGAGAAAAGAAAAGAGATAACACACACACACTGAGGGGGAACGCCACTGGTTCAACATGATGAGTTGCCGCCTCCTGGTGGCCACAGGAAGAAAGACACAATATATAAAACATATAAATAAAAATGATCAATATCTTTAATCCCTGGAAACAATCAATTAATCTTTGAGGTCTGTATGATATAAACGCTTTTCAGCTTTATGAATGAACTGACCAGAAACATGAGGAGATATTGGTCATAATAATGTATATGAATATTGAAAATATAAAAAAACATTTTTTTTTTGTTACAGGCGAGACTCAGATAATCACATTTGGAAATAACTTGATCGATTTTTGGAAAAGTCAAACATTTACCTTTACATTCTAACTTGTCTATAAAACATATTGATCAGATATTGATAGTTATTACCCAACATTCTCTGCTCCCTCCCCGCCCCGTCTCCACCCCCTCCTTCCTGCTCCATCAGTCAGTGCAGGTGAACGGCCGCCTGTCGGCCTGCAGTGCCTCCTCCGGGCCTGCAGAGGCAGACTCTCCCGGGGGGAGAGCGGCGGTCAGCCCCGCTCAGAGGAAGCAGTATAACTCACCCATCGGCCTGTACTCAGAGGACACTCTGAGGGAGATGGCGGCCATGCAGGCGGGCCGGCCTGCGGGGTACGTGACCAGGGACGAGAAAGCGCTGCTAACAAGTCACCCTGAAAAGGAGAAAAGTGGGCTCATCAGAACATTCAGTGTCAAACTAATAAATAATCTGTGGTGGAGAGTAGCTTTACTGTGAGGTACCAAAGTCAGCATCTTTGTCCAGGCGGTTATTTTAGACCAGAACCGGCAATAATATCTGGCCAGATTGCTTTGAAATCAGAAAAATAAAAACTAAATAAATAGATAGCGGCTGGTGCTGAAATAGATCTCAGTCATGACAGCAACAGTTACTCAAAATAAAAGCGCGAGAAATGCTTCATGTTGAGTTTCTTAAAAGCTTTTACTTTGAAGAGTACTGAAGGACAATCGAAAGAGTCTCTGGCCTGCTTGACACACCTCTACAACCTACCTAACGGGAGTCCCGACTGAGTTAAACGTGCACGTGATTTGAAATAATCTGACTTTTTTCTGGCCCGCCATGTAACGGCTTGAAAAACAATTGGTTTTCAACAAGAGGACGCGGGAGTTTAGCTTTTAACACCTTTAACTGACGAATCTCTCCTTCAGCTGCAGTGATATGTTTTGCGGAGATTATTATTATTTGACACTGACTCGTATGGACCAGATTTTGCAGTTCTTGCGTTCTGCTTCACGCGGATCCCAACTGAGACGAAAACACAGGAACCTTTAAAGTAATTCCTCTGTTTGTGTTGAGTTTGGCCATTTTTTACAGTGTTCAGGCGCCATGTGCCGCTGCTCTGTCTCTTGGCTGTTACTGTGGTGCTGAGGGCGATGACTGAGCAGTTTGATCAGTGTTTGCGTGAAGGGGCGTGTACATGACCGATAAATGGTGGCGTGCGAGAAGGCGGGGCCGAATGGCAACTGTAGAGAGCAGAAAAAATCATGGTCATGTCTGGGAAACAGAGGACGTATGGTCACCCTACACGACACCGACCTCATCCCGCCAGAGCGCTTGAACAAACGCTAAGCTAACTGATGTTGTGGAGACAGCCTGGAACCTCCTCAAGGACCCCCGGGGGTCCCCGGACCCCACTTTGAGAACCACTGCCATAACACATATTGCAATTAATTCTGCCGCCTTTTCACGCAGTATTTTGGCAGACATATTCTGATCTGGTCACACACCTGCTAGTGGAACCACACGATTGGCTTAATGTGTTTCCCGGCTCGGCAGTTAAAACGCAGACGATTGGCTGTCTTGCAGGAGGGGCGGGACATGTGCGTACAACCGCCATCTTCGGCGTTGCGGGCTTTTCCCAATAGGATTCTATTTAGGATTCTTTAAGTGGCGTGTCTCCTCTTAAATTGTCCCTGGCGGTATTTCCATTTCCTGCTACTTTACACTTCTACTCCACTACAAGTATTGTACTTTTAGCTTCACCACATTTCTGTTACTTCACAGATTCAGATTAATAATACAAGAAATGAATCAGCTGATATTAATAATAATAATAATAATCCTTATTTGTAGAGCACTTTTCAAAAACAAGTTACAAAGTGCTTTAACAAGTGTAAAGAATAATACAAAAACAAAAACAAGATAAGAGCATGAAAATTTAATATAAAATTAGTAAAATACAATAAAATAAAAGGGATAAAAAAATATTATTATAGATTAAGTTTATAAAGTCATTAAAATGAGCTCCTTCTTGACCAGCTGCAGCGGATTATAATCCAGTTATGCATTATTCTGAGAAGGGCCGTTCTGCATATCGAGTACTTTTACTTTAATATAAGATTCGAGCTCCTCTTCCACCGCTGAGTGACGAGAATAGAGAGTGTTAGTGAGGAGGAGGAGGCTTAAAGTGAAGAGGACAGACATTTAGCAGTCGCTGCATTACAAAGCTATGATGAGGAGGGGGGGTCTGTGACTGTTACCATAACTATTCATAATCATAGCCACACACACACACACTGTTATTACCCAGCATGCCTGTGGTGTTTCCTCGGTTCACAGTGCGATTCGGTTACTGTGTCACTGAAGAGGCCAAACACCTGTTGGCTGTTCTGGCTGCAGCTAAAGGTCAGGGAACCTTCTGGACACGCGAGCACACACTGATGTGGAGACTGTCAGGTCACAGTTACATCTACATTCAACAGGCATCAGTGAAGTGAGAGATCTGCGAGCAACAGTA